CAGGCAGCGGTCGTAGGAAGGGCACCCTCCTCCGAACGACGGAGTTTGTGTCCAGATGTCAGTTGCAGGAGACTCGGCGAAAGCCTTTGTTATGCATGGTGAAAAGGGACCAGAAAACATCATGAGGATAGATGCCCAAAAGGATTTTGGCATCTGGGTCTTCTAAAACTAGTCCCTCTTACTGCACCATGAGAAATCGGCCCAAAAGGCATTTGTCACTCTGCGGGCGATCCGACTCACCTTCTCCCGTATTACTTGCACGGGCTTCCAAATAATCTACGGAGCGTATGTAAGACCACTCCTAGAATACGCCAACCGAGTTGTCCACTCAGGACGCACGAAAGACGTCACCCTCATTGTGCGTCACCCAGCGAGCCGCTACGAAAATGGTTGCCAGCTTCAAGTCCGTGTACTACGAGGCACTTCTGGCGACGCTTGATCTCTTTCCCCTGGAGTACCGTCGCCTCCGAGGGGTCCTGATTCTCACTTATGTTCTGTTTGAACAAAGCTTGGCAAACAGGTTTTTCACCGTTGACCCAGCAAACTAAAGGCGGAGACATAGTAAGAAGATTTTCAGGCTCTAAGAGCATGCATTCATTGGACAAATTTTTTTCTCATTTCGAGTAGTAGTTTCGTGGAATGACCTTCCTCCGACGGTTGTCCACGTTCCTTCTAGAACCCAGTTCAAAGCACTACTAGACATTAAATTTACGCTAATCCTTGCGCCGCCAAGCATACTGCCCCGTGCTGAGAACATAAAGACAAGCACTACACCATTTTTTCTCCTGTCTTTCAGGTGAACAACAGCTTCTGACCGACGAGAACAGAGCCAACCGGGGAAACTTGTGCAAATGCCTTCATCCTGTGTATCACTCCGTGAATCTCTGAATCCCTGATTAACCTACATAGAGTGACCTTGAAATATTTGCAAATACGTAATGCCTATTCGCGCGATGCCGTCGATTTTAATCACCTTGTAGAATCCGCCCACTCATTCTACAATTCGGTTTTGATTTGCTTCACATTTCAGATGAATCGTCGAATTTTTTCTGGGATTCATCGCATATCAAAGGCCCAAATGGGATTTCTGAGCTTATTAGAAATCATGCCCTCAGCTGTTGAACATTGTATGAGAACACTTGTTTTCTTGACGACCGTATCTGTTGCTTTATCACAAGGAGTTATCAATGATGAACTACAAATTAGTGTTTCGGGTACCACTGCGAGCTGTAACTTCGCCCGTACGCAGGATCTATCACAAGGTGGTACATTATTTGAAGAACTGGTATTGCGTGCCAGAAGGGTCGGCTTTGTGTCTGCCTCCAAAGATAACCAACAAACCTCCGTTATTAAACCTGGGCCAGAGGCAGTGAGCGTCACAGTTCCCGACCTGTTCCCTGGGGAAATGTATAATCTCACCTGTTCGCATAGAGTTGGTTCTAGAGAGAGGCACCATGTCGATCTTACTGCTGGCATAGGTGAGTCAGCTCAAGGCTGCTTATTTTCGCTTGGCTGTTATTCAAAACATCCTACTTCCACAAAATATACGTCATAGATACAGTTTTGTAACGTTTGTAACGTATGCGAAATCTTCGGCTTAACGGAGCGTAGAGTATACATATGTGCATCACATTATTTTAGTTACTGATGGAGTTTCCAATTCTGACTGTTTTCGTACCACACTATGTCGGTCTATAAACCAAACCGTATAGAAGTGCTGTGTCACGAAGTGTCAATAAAATACGCGGCAGTTTCCCTTTTTTAGACGTACCTTGGGTTGACACACAGGCTGTAGTAGAACTATTTCTTAAACAGCAGCTACGGATGAAAGGTTAGCCTAAAGAAGTGAAGGAACGATGAAGAAAAATGACACACAAGGAAACCAGAACTAAGTGCAGCAGGCTAACAAATGTCGTGTTGCTTGAGTATGCTTGATTTTGAATGATACATACATTCATGGATGCCTGCAGATTGATGCTATTACCACAACCTCTTAGGCAAACCCTCACCGGTCCGTCTCGTAGAAGGCAGACAAGAGTGAATATCGATGCACGTTGTGAATTAAGCTCTATCTGTCATTCTCCCGGATAATGGATGAGAATGCCTGTGGTCGTAGCAAGTACAATGCTTGAATTGCAATGTAGCTAGATGGTTGGAACCGGTTAGCTAAGAATATTGCATTGAAGAAAATAATATTGCAGGGTTTTTATTTAATGCTCGACAAGTGTGTTGGTCATGTTTTTCAGCTTATTTTCAAAATGTGATATCACAATTCCATGTGTTGCACATTTTTTTCACTCTGTCTTCCAAAAGTTTCCCAGCATCATAATCAAATAGCCTCCTTTTGTGTCGTTTGCACGAAACAGTCATTTTAGTATAAAAATTTCACTATTTTTTCTCAGGTCTAACAGCACTTTGCACTTTGGTGGTCATACATAACTTCCTTTGAGAATGTCAACTTTGTTCGACTATACAAGGAAGGAACTCGGCTTCAAAACACAGTTCTTGATTAAGCCAGCCGTGCTGATCCCACTTCCCTAGAGTTTTGAATCCACGTATGATGCACATAGCTTGTCACGTTCTTCAAGTGATTTATAGAAGGTGGTGAGGTGTGTTGCATGAATCACAATTTCGAATATTTGAGAAAAAATTTCCCAGACATTAGATTGTCGACGGCAAGAAATAGTAAGTAGATGCTAACAGCCAATGCTTTCCATTTACTTTCTGAAGAATTAACCAAGAAATAAGGGCAATCATGCTTGACAAGTGTTTGGGGGTTGCTCTTGCAGCTAAAATAATCTAAAGGGCACCTAATGTGCAACATACCAGGGCTAATGTGGGAAGAATGGGGAAAATATCAAACAAGCACGCAGAATTTACTGAGGGAAATGCACGTATCTGCGTGTAAGCGCCGCTTGCTGCATTACAGTTTCCGTTTGAGAGATAGGTTTCAGACTATATCAGATTGTAGTAATTATTCCATTACTTAACGCGAGTTGTTTGATAACGGTTTCATCTCATCGGTTCTGGAGTATAGAGAACGCAAATAAGAAAAACTTGGGGAGCGTATTGGAGGAGAAATAACCAGAGATTGTTGCAACTCAACAAGCCATCGAATACTATCAACAATCATTTTTGTTTTGCGCAGAATTCTGAAGTGAGCTTTTTGTCATTCGTGTCAGAATAATCACCAGGCCAATGAATCGACCCTACCTGGTCACTTGTCAGGGGTCGGTTTGAAAGGTACCACGAAAAGTTACGTGTAAACTGCAACTTGTTTAATGTGGGTTGACTGTTTTAGCTTCCACAACAGACGTCTCACTGAGGAGCGTAGAAGAACATTCGAGGCTAAACCACAAAGATGCTTTTAAGTTTTCAACAGAATTCCGATACAGAGAAGGCGCAACTTGTGGATGTAGCGATCGATAAAAATGCCGAAACGAATTGTATACAGTGCCACAGGACATCGTTTAGCCAGATTTTTTGGAAAGCGTTTATTGAAGATAAAGCGCGTAGAAGATCAAACATGCATACGGTGGAGCCTAATGGATGGCCCAGAAATGAAACTTGCCTATACCATAATCACATTTGAACGACTTTACAGGGCCATTATAGGAATGCATTTCTCCACGTGGAGACAACACTCTTTGGTATGTAACTGTCCACTAGTGCCTTTGCAGAAGTATCAATAAAGTTTTTGAAAATTGACGCAGGAAACAGATAAATAAAATAGTATTCAGAAGCGAAGACATAATCCAAAAGGTTGTCGACCATGTTCGCTCAACCGGAGACTTTTCTAAAGTGTTCAGGAAGAGATCAAAATTTATATCAAATATAGGAAAAAGCCAACCTTTGGTTTTGTCCGAAACACCACTGCGGTGTTTCACCAATCATGTATTTTATGACAAGCATTTGCAGAATAGTATTCTGCGATACCTTTGGGTCTGCGGCGTTTCGCAAATCACATCGACTGTAGTGATGATTCGACGTGAAACTATTCTATGCCTCTAGGAGAATTAACTGATTGAGCTTTATGGAACATTGTGTAAAAGAATTGTTTCCAGTAACATCTCACCGGAGAGGCAGGATTGCTACACAACCAGATAAAACAAAGGAGAAAGAAAGAATCTCTTAATGTTATCTGTCGCTGTTTAAACTGAAGTCAAACGGGATGTGAACACGTGCGGCGTCTCCTACACGAAAGGTATAGAATAGATGTATTATTGCCTGGATCGAGAAAAGCCGTGCCACATCTTTTTGTGACGAATCTAATTTAGTGGCAAATTAACCGTGGACACTGCCTGCTCGTGAAACAATGCCTATTCGTCCAGCTGTGGAACCAGTTAATACCTAGCTGCCATACGAGAGCGAAGGCTGGCATACTCTTAAGTTTACAAGCATAACTACGCACGCACAAAACATGTATAGTTCGATTGGCAACACCAGATTTAAAGACCATACGTTAATGTCAAAACAGAAAGTGAACGACACTTTACAATTAGTAATATGCACACTGTCCACTTCCTATTGCCTAACAACAGCTGAGCTAAATCTGAATGCAAATGTTCTTTTCCAAATTCGAACGATGCTGGACAAAGCTCATCTAAGCCAACACCTGAGTCGTGGTTTAAGGAGGAAAGACGCTACTAATTCATCAACTGAGGGATTCCCGACTCACGGACCACGGCTGAACATGCGTGTGAAATTGAAGGCAACAAATTCCAGGTACAAGGTATGAACTGTATATTGAAGAATTAAATAGAGAACTAGGTGGTCCGTTCATTAGCTGGCTATTGAAACTATTTTAGATCCAGTTTGGAGAAAAACCTGAGTTAGACACCTATTTAGCGCAAGCAGGGCACAACGGGATTTTTACCCATAAAATCCGTTTCATTAGCTTGCAGGTGATTTTCAGACCGATATTAGTTTTTTCATCTAGGTGGACGTATAAACACAAGGGTATAGAAGTATGTAAACACGGAACTCTACGCAAAACACAGCAATTACTCTGTGGGACACCATGACGGAGACTTTGTTCCTGAGGTTTTAAGCTACCATCTGTTGTTAGCGGGAACATTCATGGAGGGTTTTTTACTTTGACAGAGCACGGCCCACTCGAATAACCTTATTTTCAAAGTTGAACGATCTTTATTCACGCTTGCCATTGGACTGGTTAGCCTTGATTGCGCAATCTATGCCATATTTTCGACTGATATCTCCCCTGAAGAAGTTCACAGCAAACCAGTTTTGGGTTTTAAGCATGTTTTAGGCATGTTTATTAAGATAACAGACCGAATTTCATTCCTTCATTTTGTTATCTCTAGTTTTCTTATAGATAAAAAGAAGTTGGTTTCTATCTAAAGAGGGGACTTGGAATTAGTTGTATCCTGTAGGCAGAAGTATATTGAAGCGAACAGTTTATTGTTAAGAAGATTCTGTCTATAGCTTTGGGTGATAATCGCCAATTTTAAATTTCGCGTAATCACGACATAATTTGCAGCAGTCAATTCGTCCATGGTAATATCACATGTAAATTGCCCGCTCACTGAAATAATAACTAACCTCGATTCTCCATAGCCGAGTTCGAAAACATATTCAATATTACTGGTGTCTGCAAGTTGAGAATATTAGGACAGAATAATTACCGGAAGCTCACGGTGTCTCAGTGTCACTAACTAAACGTCTGAAGCGAAAAAAACTCTCAATAAGGTGGTTCGGTAACAGGTCATAAATTGACGTTTCCTCTTATCTAAAACGTTCCAATTACTGGGGTACCTTAAATCAATGCTTGTCTCCAGAGAAAGTTTGAATCAATGAAATATGATAAACAGACGTTTGCAAGTGCGTTATCACGAGTGTGTTATCACTAACAAGAGGTACATCAAACTGGTCCTCAAAACTTAGGACTAGAAGCCTCTATCTATGACACCAAGTAGGTTTTTGGTAATAAAAGTATTTTGGAAACCAGAATGTCACATACCAATCGTCGGAATGTACCCGCAAACCCACATTTTTAGGCCATTTCACCGCTTTGTTTACACGATGTTTGTACTCGCATACAACCTGGTCATTACTTTCGAAGGTGTATCTAGCCGTCGCCCTCACAGCGCTCAATTAGCGCAGAAAGTGATTAACTAAGGGATCACAAGTACTGACAATAGTTAACTGCCATGGTGGATTTTGAGTCTAGGACTTTGCCTTCTTAGAAATGAAGTTTTCAAGCACAACGAAATTTTCAGCTTGATACGTCGAAGAAGTAAACTAGCTGTTTGAAACATCATGCTGATCAGCATTAAAGTCCAAGTAAACGGCGTTTTCTAGCCACTAAGTCTTTACTTTGCCGACTGATCACCATGCGTCGCAAATTTGTAGACCAGTTTGGCCTCTCCGCCATCCTGGTTGTTGATTAGGTGTCTTTAAACTGAATAATATGGTATAACATTGTTGGTTTTTATCCTTTGGTTCTTTCTGTGGAGCTAATATACCTGTTCTGACGCTTGTGCACGGAATAAGGGGGATTTTTTAAAAGGGAATTTTAGTAAAATAAAAACAGTTTGCACAAAGCTACCGTATCTATCTGCTAGACAGAAACCATGTTTTTCAGCGACTAAATTTGCCTGGCGTGTTTGAAACCGAAATTTCCTTCAAAAAGGCAAACAACCTGTTTAGGCCTCGAGGCTTGATGTATTAATGCATTTTCCACTGTGTTGAGGGCGTGGCAATTCTCTCATCTTATTAGGAGCCAGATATATGTGTCATACAAGAGCGACGAAATGTTCGTGATGCTTGCACGAAGAAAGTTTTGGAGATATCTATGTCTATGTGATAGTTTGAATGCACACCTGTTTACCCGGTACTGCCGGGTATTGCTTGCCTTCACGCAACCACTGATTTCGAACAGTGTAATGAAACGCATATATCGCTCAATATGGCGGGATTTTCACTGAAAGAGCTGACAATCTGCCAGGAATTGACCTTTAAAAGAATACGAGGCACTGATATTCTTCATGGTTCGCAGTGCACCGGAAAACTCAAATCCATAAGTGGCGAGTGACTTAACAAGATAGTGTAGTTGCACTCTGAGAGTGACGGTTCGCCAGTAGAAGGTCACAAACCCACATGACTGCAGTTTTCTATCACAACCCTCCGATTTTACGAACAAGCGATATTGACCATGGTTACCGAGGAGTGGCTAGTGACACCTAGAAGTAAAATTTATTAGACTTGCTATTTTGAGGTAGACAGGACACTATGGGAAGCATGCCAGGTAGGGGTATCTTCAGCTCTCAGTATTGGGCATCCACTGTCCCATTCCGCAATTACTAGTAACGCTCTCTGGATGTAGTGCGAAATAGACCCTATAAATTGGATCAACTACAATGACATGGGTACTGTTTTTCTGTGAACCTTCAGTGCCTTACCCTACAAGGAAAAAGCCTGTCCTAGCATAAAATACGTGTTTGTTTTAACCAGTGGAACCAGGCTTGCCATGGTTTTAACAGAAGCAAATAAGTTTGCGCGATATATGGCCTTTACTTTCATCACACGCTATTAATCCACGAGGTTGAAAGCGATGAGAAGTAGGGCGTGAAAATGGGTAATACATGCACTACAAACTTGCGTGTTAGCATGTCGACTGGTTGTGTTGAGCTAAACGCGAATTTTTGTCTTCAAATCTATCGCATGACAAGCCAAAGTAGTAGCCTTCTATCTCAGATTGCGGTTTTGTCTTGTGAGCAAATATGTGGAAATTTCCCAGGTGATTTTTGATGCGCAGGCTACACATATCAGCTGTTGACTTAGGACGAACAGCTCTTGTCCCAAAAATTTTTAATCTTTCGACAGAGATATTGCTTCCCCTTCATGACAATCTGTACCTTATCAGAATGGGAATGGAGTTTTCATATTCATTTCCAACCCCGATAACAGAACAGATTCTGCCACCTACAAAAGATTACGGCCGCAATAATCCTGAACAGCATGGATTGTGCGGAACTACACAATTCTGACTTTAGAGCAACAAGGCTTCCGAAATGTGCATCCCGCAGCCTGCTGATAATCAAGTATGACTAGAACAACGTGACGACGCTGGAACAAAAATATGCATAATCACTCTGGACACCTTATGACCTTTCAGGCACATTTCCGGTCGGAAATTCAGGCACACGACATAAATTTGTTGTTCTTGAGTCGGATGGAAAAATTATCCATCCTTTGCTAGTGTGGGGCTTTTTATCTCCCTTAACACCTATTTACAGTCGTCATAAGCGTTCTGGATTTTGAGATTTGCTATGAAGCCCTCACTATTTGCCAACGGAGTAAGTCTCTTGCAGATGATCGTCTTGTCGGAAGACATTTGCACTTCTTTGACTAACATTACTGGTGCGCATAATAAATAATCATGATAAAGAACAACACCATCTTCAGTGCGCCTGATTGCGCAACTGAGAAGCCTGTTTTAACAACGTGTTCTTCTGGAGGAAAAACCCGATATTTTCACATGACATCGGGTTCAGTGTGCAAAATTATTTGTTACAAATGTTTGGCGTCTCTGGCTTCAACGTCGGTCTGTTTTAGCTATGTGATGAGGCCATTTTCTGTAAGAATTCACTTCATAGAAGAATCCTCCAGGTTTGGCAACTCTGTCTAACATATCATAACAAAATGCTTGAACCGCTTCAAAGACGATTAACCTACTTGGAATTAGTATTGAAATTTTAACCCGAAAAAAGAAACTAAAGACACTCAATGTAGTCTCCAAACGATATTGATAGCCAGGAGACAAGCTAATTTTTGACCGTAGTTTATGAGACACTCGAATAGCATATTTCTCTGAGGTCAGTAACCACAACCGGTGGCTTAGTTTGACAGGATATAGTACGAAAAAACTGTCGCCCTGATTTAAGTGTACCCCGCTCGCTCGCTCCCTCGACATCAATACTCAGGTGCAACTGTCCCTTGCATTCTGTGAATGGCCCTCAAATTTGCCGCCTTAGTTTCCTCCATGTATGTCCACAGCGATCACCGTAGCATTCTGGCGGAGGTTTCTATAAAGAGCAATCTAATATTCACGTGTTCTTCTGAACTCAGACTGCATGAAGTAAGGCACATTCGATTTCATTTTCTTCTGTACAGAACGAGCGGAGATTGAAGATAAGCTATGGGTGTCTCAAACTGGATTGTATCCTTCTGCACAGACAATCCTCACGGCTATTTTCCCACGATGTTGTTGATATCTCACAGTCCTTGCATTCTTTCTGTGCACTGCCCACTAAATTAGGCCATCCATTCGTCTAAAGAAATCACGCCAGCTGGAGATCATGTCAGTTTGCCTATGTTATCAGATAAGTACGAATGTGTTGACATTCAGCAGATATTCCAGATGAGGAAATTATATTCTAGAGTGGTGGTTGGGGTACGTAAGCGTAATTGCTCACACTTATTGAAATGCTCATAGCAGACGACTCATGCTCCAGAAGGTGAGGGAAATTTAAGCCAATAATGGTTTCATATTAATCGACCAGCCAGCAGACAGTGGACAGTGGGTGAGCAACGATGCAATGTTGACTGCCGGACAAATAAGCCTCGCTGAAAACGAAGCATGTCTCCTGCCTGATAACGCAGATTCTATAGTATATCAAACCTGAAACATACAGTATGGCGACATTTATATGGATGTACCTGGCAAGAAACAGATGAAGGGGGCGCATATGATAAAAAGTATCACGTACTACAGCGAGAATAAGGCTAACGGCATGGCGCAAGGCAAGAAACAGTCTGATGTTACCACAAGAACGCCAACGTTAGAAAAATTCACGGGGCGCAAGGCAAGAAACAGTCTGATGTTACCACAAGAACGCCAACGTTAGAAAAACTTCACGGGATTTTAACCAACTAGTACTCATTATTCCTTCTGATCAAGCAACGCATCGGTTTTCAGAACCACCACTCGTTTGAACAGGGATTCAGTTCAAATGAGCAATGTTTACGCACCAAAAAACTTGAAAATTAAGCCTAGTCAGCCGGTCTATCAGATAGTTTGACTATTGGTAGATAGTCAGCTCATCATTTAGCCAGTGGTGGTAGATTTGCCTATTAAGTCAGAATGAGCCTGAAGTTAGAATTCCACCGAATATTGGTGGAATATGTGGCAGCTGGTTTTGAAGCATTCGGATGCAACAGGGATTCCTTCACCGATGGACTGAACTCTCTGGGCCTTTGCTATAGGTCTACCCAAATAGAACATAGGTCACAGTGACGTGTTGGCTGCGCTTTAAACACTTGCAGGAGACATCTGACACAGGTCACCATAAATGGTTCTTACAAGATGATTGCCATCAGATGAGTTTACCCGGAGAGAGGATTCGTAATACATGCTCCACCAACAGACCACAGTACGGTATAGTACGATATAGTATAATATGGTATAGTGCAGCACATTATAGTGTAGTAAAGTGTTGCATTGCATTGTATGGCACAGTGTGGGGTGGCATGGTATAATACTGGGCAGGAGAGAATAGGACAAGAAAGTATGGAATAATGTAGTGTCTAGTGTATCGCCGTCAAACAAAGGGCTTTTCACGAATAATTTCATGTCTCTTGTTTACGGAGAACTCGGGTATACGCGTAAGCCTACGCAATCAACCAATGTGATGGGTTGATTATACAATAATGAAGTCTGACAAATTACATTGGTGGGGTTCATGGTTCTGAGGGTGATGCCCACGATTAGAACTGACTGTTTGTCCCATCCCACTTTGTAAGGTATCCGTGACGTTTCAGCATTTACCAGCTGTCAAAGAGCTCAGACACAGGAGTTTTATACTACTGTTTGGTTCATCTAATAAGTGGACGAACTAGGCTTTAAATTATGCATATTATACGGCCACCTAGTGACTACTATCTTATATGCCTCCTCATCTCCATGGATTGATCTTGCCTGTTTCATATGTAAGATGTATGTGTAAGCGGCGAGAAATTACCAATAATCAGCTTATATGGCTCTAAATGCTACAAAGTATACAGCATGGAAATTTTGCGATCAGAGGTTTCCGGTTGTTGAAGTTCCCTTAATCTGAGTCACATCGCTCCAAAAGTTACCAGTTTGTTGTTTGAGCGATAACCTGACCGATCAGTGCTAAGTTGAAGCCATGAAGGTCGTCACCATTTAGATATCTTTGCCAAATTTTACTACGCTTAACAACAACAGCAGCTCATATAACTTTGTGTACTTGGCTAGGATCCAACCAAAATTTCACCTTCATCCATCGACTAGAAGTAACAGGAGTTAGGACACAGAGGTTAATTAACAGGGCCTCTTTCGGTTGAAATTCAGAGAACTCACAGTACAAGTGAATCAACAAAATAAAGTCATGAAATCTGATGACCCTAATGCGACACATAACGGAAAGAAAGACGCTTTACTCGTCATTTGAGCGCCAATCAACAAACGGATCAGTGACATACGAGTTACCAAACAATAATTATTATACCTGCGTGGTGCATATCTGCAAGGGTTTTGTGTTTGGTCCTGGATGAAGGAAACTGATCGGATTGCGTCTATCTGTGGGCCACTTGCTTCTAGTATGGCTGTTTGAGGAGAACGGCCAGCGAGGAACGAATCAGTTACAGGGATATGGTCGCTCTACTACTCGATGTTGATAGTCTATGTATTTTGAAGTTTATGTCAGTGACATATCAGTCAATTCGATTAGCTCAGGCCAAATGTCTTCTCATAAGTGATTCCTAACCAAACCAGCCAGGTGATATCCTGCTTGCACACAATCTTCTTGTCACTTCCAGTGGTATTTGTACAGATAATATTTGTTTTTACACTCCATAGTCATAATTCTAAATTTCCCATCATTTTCACCTAAGATTTCTTGATCGCCATGTGAAGTACTGCCACCGACAAAAGCCTTCCGCACAGTCTGTTGTTTCCGCCACAGAGTTCGTTATTAACCTTCCTGAAAGAAGTAATCAGAAACCACCTCAATTAACTAGTTCAGTCTACTTGCAACTTTTCTGTGGTTAATCTTATCTCTTGGCCGGTCGATATCTGACCTCATGCGAAAGTGACAAAGTAAACAAGTCATCTTGATTTGATGGGATGCATTCCATATTTGAGCTGAATCACCTTTTTCATGCACCTAACATTTCAGGACAAACACACTTGGTATTGACTCTCACATACCAGTTGACTTTATGGATTATTTACGAGTAGGCGGCAAAACGACCATCCTTGCTTCAATTTGGTGTTTTGACTTTGTCGCCTTCTGCCTATGGTATTTCAGGGCTTGAGCTGCACCGTCCATTTGGCTTATTGTCTGTTATTAAAAAACCGGGACTTTAAAATGGGAACCTCATGGGAGGAAAAAATAGATTCTGCAAGTGCAAAATTTAGTGATACCATTTCTTTTGTGCAATATAAACGAGAGTGATAAATAATGCTATTTCATGGGGAACAGAAAATTTCCATCCCAATTTGGGACCACTGCAAAAAAGTGAGCATCTAATCTTTTCTGAGGGATTAGCAACTCTTTGTATACAATGCTGATGCTCGCTGTAGCTCATAAGTGACACTAATCTGGATCATCCAAGTGAGTGATCACTCTTTTCGGAGATCTCCTTCTAGGTAGATTACTGTTGAAATTCCAATCCCGTAATTACCAACGCGTTTATAGGGGTTATTTGGAACCAAGAGGAATTCTCCATCAGCGAGAGATTCACTGCTTCATAATTCAAATCATCTGATTCGCGTTTTGACTCATTTCCCAGAATTCGTTGTTCGGAAAGTTGTGGCTGTATGTTCTCAGATTCGAAGTTGGTTAGGCCAGGTTTCATGTATCGATCAGTTTTTTCTTACAGAGGATATGTGTGATCAAAATCGACGATTCGACGGTTTCCTGAATGTCTGGCTTGATTAGAGTTTTCACAGTGATAAGTTGACTAGAACATAGCGAACTCTTTGAGCGATTAAAATTGTTCGGCAGAGGTTCCAGCTTCTTTGGCGACGAGAATAAATTTGATGCACAGTAATCGCCTTGAAGAACAGATATTTGTGTGAATAGCATCGAAACAACACAACGAACTGTCTTTTCTCAAATAAGGTGTGATAGACCGTCTATTCTAATTAGTTATCTTAGACAAATTTCGTAGTCTGTACGCCTAACCTCTTGCTTTGGGCAAGATTGTTCCCGTCCTGGAGCAAAACAATAAAGGAATTGTAGTGTGGTGCACGTTTCGTCTAGTTAGGCTCGTTTGGTGAATCTGATTTCCTTTTTACTTGGGCACGGTAAGACAAGCCACCAACAGTAGCCAATATTGAACGCTTCTGGATGTTACAACCAACCACGCCAGACAATAGTCAGATTTGAGTGTTCATCATTTTTGCCGTGTTGCTGTAGGACAAGATCTCTTCTGGCGGGAATCTGAGTCATCCTCTGGTCTTGATCATCATTTTCTCACTGCTCGATGTTACCAACTCAAAACAAGGTGATTCCCAATTGCATACTGAATACCTCACTCGACGAGCGAGTCCATTGATACAATTCGTGGGGATGAAGTAATGTGCCACGCAGGACGCCAGCGATTGTGATATGCTAAATTTTGGGGTGAGACCTTAAAGGAGACACTGTGGTTTTCAACAGAGATTTCGTGTTTTGTTCCGTCCAACTTCCAAAAGAAGAACTAAAATACAATATGGGTGTAAACTGACACCGATGGCATTCACGATGTTCGTTTTTGCTCAGAATGATCGAATGAGCGTTTAGAGTTCTGAGCAATTTGAACAATTTGAGAACTGAAACACATTACCAGGATTGCTTTTAATAACCATTCGAAATCGACCCTTGTCAGTTATGCTTTAAAGCAAGGTTTTCTATAAATATAAACGGTGTTCAGCTGATGGAACTGATGTCATTTTTCTTTTTTCATGTCTTTTTAGAGAGTAGAATTCCTGGTCTTGTTCACTCCGTTTCCGAAGTAACACTGAACACTGTGACGATAACCTTCACGAATCCTCATCTTTACGTATTAAAGCTTTACTACAGAAAGTAAGTTCATCATTGTACCTGACGTTTTGTTCATCATCCATCCAGATTAAGTGTGCACTTTACATCAGGCTACTGTAATAGCCAACGTACATGGGCGACACCCAGGTGACTAGTTCGGAGGAGAGCAGGAATTGTACCGTCTCTTTTACACCTCTCGGGAAATGCATAGCGGAATCTCAGTTAACATTTCATCGATTAGATGGCAACGTCATGATTATCCAGCATTCAGTAGAACATGTGGTTGACGAGAACTTGAGGGCTGCGCTTAAATGATTAGCCCCAAGAAGGGCAAAACCGGTCGTGGGCTGTCGAGGAGTTTCAGCAACCTTGTAAGTAGTGTATTACGTCTATATAATGTATCTCGATATGTGGAATAACGTGCCAAATGAAACATAGGTTGGCCTGTGGAGCACACTTAGTCGCTTAGAGACATCATAAACGAGGGATTCAGCTGGGTTCAGGTGATTCTGCCGTCAAAGCCCAATCGGTATGCAAGTGAATGTATTTCTCTAAACTCTACTCTACTTAGCCGCACGGTTACACTAATGAAATTGGCACCTAGTTAAACCGGATTGATGGGATGCAATCAACAGTCGTCGCATTCAAGTTGAACTAAGTTCACTAGCGCTTCCAAAAAGATGTAACGTTAACCAATAGTCCTATTCGACCAGGGCCAGGTAGAATTGTGTGACTTTATTCCAGGCAGATAAGGCTTACACATGTGGCGGAATACCCATCAGAGTTGAAAAATATGTAAAGCTCATACACTTTGGATCCGTTTAATACAGTGGTCTCTAAGTGATTCTCACCGAAATTCAAACGACAGTATATCTTTAAACGAAAATTCATCACCATTCTCCATGATTGAATCCTGACTGGTGGTTCTGTGAATCATATTTCTTTTTCATTTGCGAAATATTTTGAGATTTTGGTAAAAATTTTGAATGATCAAGAACGTAACGTAAGCCGGAGAATGTAAACACGGACGTAACTGAGAACAAGACAGGTCCACAAGAGAGCGTGCTACCACTAGATCGGTCAATTGCTTTAAGAAACTTCCGTTATGTGTAGCAGACTTTGACGTGAAAAATACGTAGAAACCAACAATTGGCATGAGAATTAGTGCTGCTTGACGTCCTTAACGGAGCAGAAGGGGTTGGCACATTCAAGATACAAAAGACATGAGGCTTGAAAAAACATTGGTCGTGTAAAAAGGTCAACACCGTGTAAATGACTCATGCATGTGTAGAAAGCCCGAAAGGATTCGCAAACCCTTGTCCAAAAACTATAACCTTAGCGGACTAAGGAACTGGATACCTCGAGATGACTTGATCAGCTATTTTTGAACCAAAATGCTGATAATAGGGGCATGTAGGACTCAGGTAACAGCTAGAACACATTCATTATCACCACATTTCTGTTCCAGTTCTTGCCAAGCAGAGATTCCGTCCCCATCCGTTCATCATCATTGTTTGACTCCACCGAGCGGTCATCAGGTCAAACGTCATAAAAGAAGTTTGACAGCATCTTGAGCAGATGCTGTCAACTCCCAGCAAAAGGCCCGTCTCAGATAACCAAGACCTTTTTCAAATTCCGTTTGCTGCGTAACTCAGCAGAATTAGGTTAAGTGCTTCATACCTTCCGGCTGACTACAGTTTCCACGACAGAACATCCACCGTTCACCATGAACCCACCCCTAATTAAAGAGCTTCACAAGTTTGTGAGTAATTCACGTAACCCGGAGAGCATAATTATAAGCGATGGAATCAAAAAAGGTAAAGCGAATAAGCAGACTAAACTAAAGCAAACTAAAACCATTATGGTTTTTTGTAGTTTATTCCACGACTCAGTCACTGGATCTTCTTTAATGTTCGCGTGCATATTTTGGAATTGGAAACAAAGACTGTGATTCTAAACAGCCGCGCCAAAACCTGGGAAGTACTAGGCACTGCGTAGAAAGCACATTTTCCACACACACGCACACACACACACACACACTTCTCACTGTATCTGGATGAATGAACTCAGGAGTGTAATAATGAGTCCGGTTTGCCAATGGCTGCCGAGGTTGTGCGCCATTAGACGTAGCCAGCTATGACTAAACTAACTGAGGTAATTAACCAACATCTGAGGACGGATGACTTGGCTTAGCATCAGCGAATGTGTCAGCCTCGGTATTAAGTAGTTCTTGTGGTATTGATTCTTTGATATGACGTCAGCGGGAAAGGTGTCACTTCATCGAGCGGTTTCTGCACCTGCTGGAATTCAGTTTTGTTTGCCATTTTAAAACAGATAACTTGGTCTTGATCTGCTAGGCGAATGACAAGGAAAAGATTGTTTCACTCTCACAAGAATGACACAACTTTTCAGCTAGATGCAAGAGTGACTATTACCATTGTTGGGTTCACTTGGCACCATAAATTTTTCCTTGGCCATGTTTATCTGCATTGTGCTGAGTGGGGTGTGCATATTGGCAGTGTTAATCCATGAAACTTCTCGCCAGAAACAGGCAAAAACAAGCAGCACAGACGAACTGGGTGACTACGTTCGTGCCAACAACTTATGAACGTGGAACTGACGGAGAGCTACCAATCCAGCTGTCGGTTTGTGGCATTTCCCAAGTTCTTACATGTGAGCCTCAAGATTCTCCGCCGTGTACCATTTGGAGGTGATGCAGACGGGTCATTTGGATCATGTTGGTGATTGTTGAAAATAGTCACCACTTTGAAACCAAGCACGTTGTTTGGTCCTGTTCTGAGCTGCTGAAGTCTCAACTCACCCAGATGGATATCCGAGGTACCTAGCTGGCACCACGAGGAGGCGGTTCAGGGCGCCGAGTACCACTATCGAGAGATCGTTTTTGAGTTGATGCAGTTTAACTAGTCTCAACTAACTGAATGCAACTGTGAGATCAGGTGCTAATAAGCAACTGCTTTGAAACATAAACAATTGACAATTCAAACCTTGTAAGAATTTGTTTTCCACCATGGCAATTCGGCACTAGAGAAATCACACATTTAGGTTGATTTTTTGAGGGACTTCCTCCAGATTACAAGTGCGCTTCGTAAATGAAATTAGAATTTGTGTTGTCCACACTGAAGCACAGTTTTGTAATGATCAGAGATGCGTTCACTGGAAGTACAATATGACCGTACCTCGTTTGTTCAATGAGTGATATGCACAAAAGTTATAAGATTTCACAGCACTATACCATGGATTTGGTTGTGTTCTCCGGGGTAGTAATGCAGATCACAGTAGTTTTTAGTGTGGCACGCGCAGTGCTTAAGGTGCAGTTGAGGACAAAAGATAAATATTTCCACACGTGGGTTTATTACAAAAAGTATTTGGTCATAGTTTTGACTGAGGTGAACAGGTGTGTGTCGGTGAAGACAACTTCATGTGGCACTTAGCTGCGTGTGCACTTTGAAGATGGTAGCCCATGAAGACAAAAGTTGATCATGAGTAACTTACCGAAGCAGACGATACTCAGTCCTACTGTGTAGTACTTAACTGAAAGAAAAACATAACTGCTGGGGTGGTTAAAGCTTTGAATTCATACAAAATGCTTGGTTGAGCGATTTGGATAGTATATAACAGCTAGGACCAGATATAGTTTGGTTTTACTTCTCATTGTTTCCAAATGTGCTGTCATTCAGACAGTATGTGGGCTGTATTTGGACAGGACTTCCTTTGGCAACCGTCTCGACTTGTCAAGAGGCAAGTCACAAGCTATCTTTGTCAATGTTTAAAATGGTTGGTGCTTACTTCCTAAGGTCATTGACTGTGCCGATGAATCACATGACCACGTCAGCTGAGTTTATGCTTTAGAATGGATTAGACTGTAGTAAATCAACTAACCCACCAGACTGTACGCGCTGGCCCAAAAAAGGTGGCTGTAAGCATTATTTGGAGGTTTTCAAAAGCATCCGCGCTCAGAGTTTGTGCCCATTTAGTTAGTTGCTTTTTCAAGCTCGCTGAAACTTTTGGCTTGGAACACACTGAAAATCACTGGACAGTGCACTTTCTCATCGAATTACAGAAAACAATTTTAGTGAATTAGTCTAAGGCAAAAACACCATCCTTTCTGATATTTTCGGCAAAATCTGCATCAGTTTATCGTCTCCAGAATAACAAAACACAATCTGCAGTCTAATAATGATGCAACAAAACTGTCCGAAGTGAATGCGCATTTAATTTTTTTCACCACGATACTACTGTTTTTTTTTTCAATTTAAGCTTGCTTGGCCTTCTTTGTCCATAATGGACCTGTTAACAGAAACGTTTCTTCACAAATGAACTTCAAGCCCTTTACAGTATTCAGTTACTAATCACCAGTTAGTGATTCACTGACCTGCTTAAAATCAGTGAAAATCAGTAGTGTAGCTTGTCCACTGAAGTGCACACGATAAACGTTGATAATGGTAGAATCGTTTCCTAAAAATGTCACGATCGTTACTGTCACACCTACTTTCATGGAATCCAATTCCAAGATTTTTCAGTGTTGTTGGTGTTGTACGCCTCCTAGGATGGGGTCCCCGTGACCCCCATCTGTGCATGGCTGAAGACGTTGCAAGAAATGGCGGTTAATCGATGTCAGTGGCGTTCTTGCTGTCAGTTTCTTTCCAGATTGTCTGATTGAGCGGTCGGAGGTGTAGGCACCTCAGTATGCTTGACATAAGCCAGCACTAGGTCCCCTCCCTCACCCACTCTTACTCTGTTCTTTTCACCCTAAGGCTTTT